AGTGTCCATCATCCATGACTTAAACCTCAAACTGGGAGGACAAGTGCAAAGTTGAAAGCTATGAACCCGGAAGCTCTGTTGACCACCGAGACGGCTGACAGTGATGGCGTGATCTGGGGTCCCTCTTACGAATCGTAGACTTCAACATCGGTAATATTTTTGTAGACAACTGTGATCGTAAGCTCCTCATCAAGCCCCGACGGTGGCGGAAAGACTGAGGATGCGCCACAATAAAAAAAACCTTAGTGGGGTATTTACTCAGATCTGTGGTGCACGGGTGTACTACTGAGCTTCAGGAGACGCTTCCGATGTAAGACTGGTTAGCCCAAAGAATTTACAATATCCTGCAGATGTGCTGCATCGGGAACAGCTCAAAGAATGTGCCCGAGTCTCCACGGCCAAAAAGACACATTCCGGTTTCCCAAGCATGGTGTTGACTATCAATATTAATGACCGTATCATGATAAATAATCATTTCAATTTCTCTGTTATAATACCCTCGGTATACTACCTAGATAGAGTTCGGGTCTCCAGAAAGTGACATTTGATCTTCTATCACACGCCGTTGATGCCAGTAATATTCAGCCGCCGCGTATCAGCATATCGCTCCAGCCTCCATGGATTGCATCTGTCTTATTTTGCACATCGTTGAAGAACGACGAGTCGGAGGTTCGGGTCCCGCGGGAATCTACCTCAAGGCAAAGCGAAATCCAGCGGGACTGGAAATTAACGCAACGGGGGTTCAGCGCGGTTGCTTTTAACTGGTGCGAGACTCCAGAGGGTCTCACGGTCCCGGGTTGATTAATATAGCCCCTCAAGGCCTGGTAAGTACGCGTGTGCAAGCTTGAAACTTCTGTGTCAGCGCACTCGTCGTACAAGACCACGCTGTGAACGACTATGGTCGCATCACTGATGACCGAGACATGTACAAAGCACTTTCGTGCAGTCATCAAAAATGATTCCTATTCTCTCTTATTTTGACCGCAACCGTCTATTTTGCGAGCGAAGTGAGCAATTACCGCTGGAAGGGCTGCCAGATTGCAGTAACACAAGTAAAAGTTCTCCGAAGCCCATCAATTGACCACTCGAAGAGTGGACACCGTTCATACGTGTTCAATTTAGCATCTCTTTCTCTGTAAATATGTAATCCTGTGGAATACATCTAAATCTGCCCGCTTGCGAGTTACTACTCAAATGACCGATATTTGAGACCATGCTGACCGCCCTTTTCTCAATAATTTTCAAAGCCGAATAAGGGGTCCAAATAAGTTTGCTTCGAATACTTGGCTATCTTGGATTCAGAGACTTGTATACAAGATTCATGCTAAAAGCACTCATTAAAGTGATACTCACCGCGACAGAAGGTCGCCAGAGCGCCGCTCAACGCCCCACTCCATCAGGTGAAGCACACGTGACAAGACGTGACCGGGCGCGTAGATATAGACTTTGATCTGAATTCAAGCTGTGCAATTTTCTTCAGCACCCAGCGCCCTTGCGCAATTCCATTTTGAACCCATGGCTCCACACAATGTTTTTGCGGACTGGGAGATCCTTCGGTGTGTAGCTCGGTTGTGACTCTTGAAAACTTAGACGTGTCTGATCTCTCATAGGCTCAAGCTGCCGAAGCCACTCAGGCTGCCAAGCCACTCAGGCTGGTGAACCCACCGTGGTTGGTCATGCATCTTTCAAGTTAGATATATCTAATGGTTTCACTCGCAGCCTCAAATCGGACAGTAAAAGTCACTGGGTCTTCTCCTTACCGTGTTTTTCGCAGACTGGCAGCTCCCTCCGGTGCGTAGCTCAGCTGTGACTCTTCGAAACTTAGACGTGTCTGATCTCTCATAGGCTCAGGCTGCCGAAGCCACTCAGGCTGCCAAAGCCACTCAGGCTGGTGAACCCACCGTGGTTGGTCATGCATCTTTCAAGTTAGATATATCTAATGGTTTCACTCGCAGCCTCAAAATCGGACAGTAAAAGTCACTGGTCTTCTCCTTACCATGTTTTCGCAGACTGGCAGCTCCCTCCGTGCGTAGCTCAGCTGTGACTCTTCGAAACTTAGCCATATCTGATCTCTCGATTTATCACTAGGCTCAGCTGATGGAACTACTGTACAGGCCGGTGCTATCAAGCAAAAGAATGTGCCAGTGGGTCAATTGTCAAATTCTGATCAGAACTGCACATTGAACGAAAGCCTTCCAGGCTAAGAGGAACAACAAGCGCTCACGCCAACAGGCCCTTACTCCAGGTGATTCTCCTTCTGCCAAGCGTGTATGTGCGCTTTCTTCTATTGGCATCCCATCCATTCTAAATGGCACAGCATCAAGCAGGGGAGGACTCTGATGAGGAAATGGACCAAATTCCAAACGTTGTTGAAAACTCAAACATGCTGAGTCGCTGGTGATATGCCCTATCTTTCTCTAGATGGATTTGGAGGCCCCAGGGGTTCATCAACCGGCTCAGGTATTTCTCTGTATTTTTCTTCTCTTATCAAACTCGAGCGATTACAGGGGATGTTGATCGATGAAGATGAAGTGTAAGACCGCGGAGCTACATCGAATACGGTCAAAAATGATGTTGGTGCACACAATCCTTGTCGTAGCAAAACACAATATGCAGGTATTGATTGAAAAAGCAGCTGCTCATACATGACCGCATGCGTCACCAGTGCTTCTTTCTGTAGCCTCACTAATTGCATATCACTGCCTAATGAATGCACTATCCAACACCCGTGTACTGTAATTTTTGACCCTAGCTTTGTGTCATCGGTCATTGGGTTCCTGAAGCGTCGGGGGTCTCCAGGCTAATGTCATTTGCAAAATTTAAACGTCATTTTATTTGACGATTCTTAGTATATTTCGGTACTGCAAGAGTGCAAATTGTTCTTAAGCTAGTCCACCGATGCCTCAGAGCCTCCAAAGCGCGTTGGAGCACGAAAATTGCAGCGCTCGCGCCGGGGCGAGACAGGAGATCATATGCATCCGCTTCCGCACCAAACCCCACCTCCTCAACCACAGCAGTCCTGATGACCCCGGGACCATTCAGAAACAGCACCTCCCACACATCCAATGCTCAGCACATACTATCAAGTTCAGCACTTTGTCCGAATGTTCATCATGTCATGTCATATCTGCAGCACATTTGATATTGTGATGCGCAGCACCTTCCTAAGCGCCTGTGAACTCATCAAGGACTGACATACACACGTGAAATGCGCATGATATGTGACAGCTGTGACCGCACGCGTCATGAATGTCCTATTGACAAGACAATTTGGACACGGGTGAGTGATCCAGTTTTTGTATCCCACACCGGTAATACACTTGGGTATTTCACACTGTTAAGTTCTTCCATAGGATTCGGAACTTGTGGTATTGAAAATACTTATCAAATAGCACTGAACTGGAATGTCGGAGCCATTCTAATATCTGTTAGTGGTCAAAGGAGGCCAAGCGTTGAGTGACACGGCAGCGAAGACCTAAGTATATTTCCTTTTGTCTCCTGGATGTTGATGATCGCTCTCTGACGATCGTGTTAGTCATAAGTAATGATAAGTAATTATGAACTACTTACCACTACTTATCTTACTACCGCCCTCCTGCTTCTTCAACCAGCTTCTCGAGAAAATTCTGATACCCAGTATGTATACAGTAGGTAGCCTACAGAACAATATGTTTCCTGTTGAAGCCTGATCTAAAATTCCAAATCTCAGCAAGCTGCGTTGACTGTGGACCAGGATTAATTCATATCCGGGGAGATTGAGTCGATACAAGTCAGGCCTCCAGAATTCGCCGCGGGACCCCTGAAAAATCCAAGTCCCGCACTCAACGACGGCGGCACTGTTTGGCCTTCTGTAAACAGTAGCATAGAGTGTGATGTAGTAGATACTTATCCCAATTTGTTGCATCCGTCGTAGTCTTGACATTGTTGAGAGCGACGAGGTCGAAGAGTCGGGCGCCGCGAGAATCTACTTAAAGCGGGACTAAACCCAGCGGGAATGGAAAATGACCCCGCGGGGTCCAGCGGGAGTGCTTAACTGGTGTGCGGGACTCCAGCAGAGGTCGAGCAGATCCTGCAGCTAATTCATGTAGCCCGAAACAAGTCTCGATCACTCGATATCGGTGATTGGGTCATCTGTAGTCTCGAAAGATTCGAATCGATTTGAATCGATTCACTTACTATGCACGGTGCAGAGTTTTCCATTCAAGTGGTATCTACACTTATCGTCGGAATTCAATGTTCGAGTTCTCATGCTTGAATTCTGTTTCACCGCTCGTGCCAAGATCAAGAAATGCATCGTCAGAGCTAGTCAAAATGTACATTGGTATCCTATGAACTTTGTTTCAATTACAAATTCAGCCGCTCGACTGCTTTCCGCTGCCTTTTTGACGCACGAGAAGGCTCTGCAGGCTGAGGAATCTTTCGCTTTCGAGACCCCATTGTCCTCCCACCGGGTGAGCTGACCGGTCGAGAGGATTCTGTAGTCTGTTCCGAGACTGCAGCCGTCGGAGACGGAGAGCGCGGTGGAGAAGGGAGACGGCGCTCAGGATCGATCAAAAGGGGTGAAGCTGGCTGTCCGTAGAATGTCGGAAGTGGCGGCATGCCATATTCGTCCAATGTCACGGGTTCAGTAGCATCATAATCACAGGGAAACATCGGCAACATGGAGGTAAGATCTGGCACAGAAAAATTCCCGAAGCTGATCATTGAGTTCACCTCCTCGTCCGAGAGTGTAACGGGAGTGAAAGCAGGATTGAAATCCACGGAGTAATCGATCGGCGAACCAGATGGTTCTCCAGTCAGGAGCAAATCGTCACCCAGATGAACAGTTCCCTGAGCGGTCACTACAGACACAGGTTTGATTGCCGGAGTTGTTTCGGTGGGAGGAAGCCGTTTTGCAGCTTTTAACAACTCAGTAACATGAATTTATCAAGAAATAAACTGATAACGCACGGACAATTCGAGTCTTGACGCGACCACTAGAGCTCGAGGAAACGATCATCGTCTCCGTGTTCGAGAGAGCGGTTCCCGCCGATTTACGGAGCTGTTCTCCACCCCCGCCTCTCTTCTTGCCGGCCTTCTTGCCAGAGTTCTTTCCTTCAGATTTGTTCACATGGGCTTTGGCGGCAGCATTCGCCCTCCGGGTCGTATTTCGGGCGCGCCGCTGGTACGAACCATTGTTGGGATTGACATCAACGCCAGAGCTCAACGCAACAGCACGTTCGCGAACGACCTGCGAGTCAAGCTTGCGAGCGCTGATTTTGTATGAGTCATGTATCATAGTTCAAATCATAAAAGAACCTTTCCATTCCTTCGACAAGAGACAACTTGATTCCGGTCCGAGCTTTTGTCCAGGCATGCTGAGCCTCGTTGAGATTTGTTGTCTTGTCTGCTTGATCCCAATCATCTGCAGGAATGAGCGACTGCGACTTGATGACGCAGGGCAAGATCCAGTCACTATCGATTTTGTGTTTCCACCAGTCTGACATGTATTGTCAAATGGAACGAGCAGAAAGCAGAAGAGGACGCACTGGAGATTTTGGGGATACCGAGACTCGCCACAAACTGTGTGAACTCGTCGATTGCCTGCCTGCTCTTAAGATCAACAACCCCCAGCAATCGCTTGTAATCTTTGGTATCAACGAGTGGAGCAAAGTTGAGGATTGCTCTTCGAGATTATAAGAAGGGATCGATGGGGTTCCAGAGAAGCACGTACCGTTTAAAATGAGTGTGACACAATTTCACACAATACGGAGCAACCTGAGACGGTGATGTATCACGACTGACACTGCTATGGACAGGATCGCTCCGCTTCAAAAAGGAATGAACAGCGCCAATCACTTGCGCCACATCCATATCCGAATTCAAGGCAATGAGATTTCCGCCCTTGTGAAATACTTTGAATGCGAACGGCTTCCCAGTGAGTTCCACCTTTGTTTCCTGAAGGAGATCCGTTGCCGTCTCCATGTCTTCAGTGTCCTTGCCGTTCATATATAAATGAGCAATAGTATATGCTTTGCACGCAAATTACTTGAGAGGTAAAGCAGTTATGAAGTTGGAACGCACCACGGCCAGTTACTGCATCATTCACAGTGACCTCCAGATCTTTGATATCCCCCAGGAGTCTGGAATACGTAAGGTCCTATGCCACGCTCTTGACACCAGCATCATTGGCGATTTCGAGGAGGTCTTTGAATGCGCCGACCATGAAGAACTTTCCGTGAACTGTACGAATGAGTCGGTGGTAGTATTTTTCGTTGATGCTCTTCAATTGGTCATCATGGAACAGACCGACGCGCCTAGGAAGGATATGAGCCTGTTGACAGGCAAGCGCGGATAGACTCACCTTTCAGATCAACTCCATCTGGGAATTCCTCCAGTTTGGTCTCGCGGATGATTTTGCGCTTTGTTGTATTTGAGTTGAGTGCAGTTGAGAATTTGCCAGGGGTCAGACCGTTCAGCTTGAGTTTGTAGAAGCCGCTGAAGAAAATGGGATGAATGAAGGAGAATGAACAAACAGAAAACAACTTGCCAAGATCAACCTTGGGCACAGTGGCACCAACAACTCCAAATGCCTTGATGCAGCCCTTGAAGACAGCCTTTGTTTCGTAATCGAGTTTTCGAAACACCGGCATCGGATGGCTGTGAGCATGTTCTGCATGGTTGTAAACAAGAGCGAGTCGGATGCTGGGATCTTTAGGAAGGTAGATCGTTCGTTTGGCCTTGCATTTGTACTGTTTGATTTGTATTCATGGGTTTGGCCATCGATTATATGTGGGTACCCTGCCAGAACAAGTTCGATGAATAAACAACATTCAAGGAGGATATCTACTCACTGCACTTGCCCTTACGGCCAGTAGATGGTGAAACAATGGTGGCGCAGGAAGGGATATCCTCAGCGGACACGGTGCATCGGGCAAATACACGGGCAAAGATTTTGGGGTCAATTTCGCTCGGAAGAGCGAAGTACATGTGATCCTTCTTGGTCCCAGCATGAGTGCAGACCACAGCATACGTTGCATCGGGATGGCCAGGCTAGAACTCCTGAGATGGAGATAAAGGATGTATGCAGATGAAAGCATGCCTTGTGAATCAGACGCAAAGTCAGGACACCATCGCATGGCCGACCGTCTGGAAGCGAGGCCCGGCACTGTTTAGATCGCATCACACCAGCATGTCTGTTGATTATTGGGATAAGACATCACACATGCGGGAAAAGAATGTACGGACTCAATAGCTAGTGCTTCAGCGGAAGATCCGGCATTCTGTCGATCGTGTCCCTGAGCACGTCGGATGGCATCGCGAGACTCAGTGCTCATGCCACGGCGTTCACCCTCCATCAGAACCGGATTCACATTCCTGCAGGCAAAACCGCCTTGGACTGCATTCAACCAAGAAGTTCTTCAAATCAAAAGAAGCACGCACCTTTGCAATCCAGTCGTGCACGGCGGCTCTCAATTGGCTTCCCGCCAGGAGTATAAACAACCATGGGGGATGTGTCTCCCTTGCCCGTGTTGCTGGCCCAAGAATCCTGGTCCTGTTGATGGCAGGCTCAGTATGATAATGGATAGCTTTCACTCTCTCCGCACCTTGTTTTTGATGAGAGCATCAATGGTGCGAAGATTGCCGTCCCCATCCTTGAGCTCCTCCCCACTCTCCATCAGCTTCGTTCGGTCGATGAGAAATGCAGTCAGTTTCTCGGGCACAGGCCATATCGATGGGATCCCCGTTAGACGTTCTATACGTTCGACAGTCAGCTTTGCCATGACTTTGTGTGTGTTGGTCCAAGAATCAGAGGTCAGGTTGCGATCAAGCCATTTGGTGTCGGATGGGACCCATCCTGCTTCAGGATCATTGTTGTCGAGCTCCGAGTCCGTCATCTCATCATCACCTAGCAAAGGAAGGAGTCAGCAGCGCAATGCATGGAAGGAGCGGTGCAACACACTAGCAACGGCCATCGAGGATGCGTCATGGGAGGTGGGAGATGGAGGCAGCAGTGACCGGATGACTTCTATGTGGGAAGTGTGAGTTGCGATCCGCAAGATGTGGGTAGCGAACACACGAAAGTCAACACTCAGAGCATTCAGATTCTCTCTGTCCATGACAGACGCCCTGCCTTCCTCGACCATGGGAGCTCCATATGGATTGGGAAGCGGAGATGCAGGCAGTGGTATATTGACAGTAGCAGGCGTCGGATGAGCCTGTGCGCCAAGGAAGGACTTGAGGTCATCAATGTCGATCCAGTCAAGGCTGACGAACTTCTCAGGCTTCTTCCCAATGTATTCGGTGGTGTACATCTGAGCCGCGACCGGAATCATCAGAATTGTGATACAAAAAAGCGACGCGTCAACGAACCAAGTCTCAAAACGCCATCAGAACCGCGTACGTTAGACCGCGGATAAGCATGAGGTCGTCGGGACTATGCTTAGACATCGTGGCCCGACAGTGATGCGGACAGCAAAGGAAGGAATGTCAAGTTTCCGCTTGATGGTGGTGGTAGAATGAAGGAAAGTGTATGTATTTGTTGAAATTGGTGCCCGAAGATTTGCACGTGACTGAATGAGACGCGCGCCAACACGTGCATGCCCACACGCACCCACACGCGCCCATGTGCAGCACATTTCCTTTAAATACAATGTACAACATATGGGCCACTTACATACAGAATGTGCTGAACATTGAATGTGTGGTAGGTGCTGCATCTTATACATCCCCTGATGACCCTGACCCCACTGTCAAAATAAGAACCCTCTGGCAACTCCGCATATGTTTTGAGAACGAGTTCTCGCACCTATGGAGGCCAGGAACAAGATACTGATAAGCGTGCCAGTTGGGGGTTGATGCCGTGATCCCCGTGATCGCTGCGTGTGGTCACATGTTCTGGACCCTGTACACCATCAGACGCGTCTTACAGACTGGAAATGTTTATTTACTTAGGTTTTAGTCGAACCGTTACCAATCGAAGATTTGGTAATATCGATTTGTCACATTGTTAAAGACAACACCAGCGTTATCTCGTTACTTGAGGAAGTAAGTAATAGTAACATCGTTAACAGATATGTTCTGAGTCAAAAAGCAGGATTGTGTCCAAGCAAGAAATGCTCAAAGGGCATGTCTGCAGTCACATGTACATCTCTGATCTACCAGGATGTACAGTGGTTCGAGTTTGAAAAACTGGCAGTAACGGGAGCACTGGTGCTGCTGAGGGAACTCCGTGAACATGGATCCTATGTTCCCACCTCCGAAAGTGCGTTCCTTGATCTCTCTGCAGATGCGGCAAGCGGAAATTACCACCGCTTACCGGTTTTACCGCCAAAGGGCGGTAAGGGCAGTAATTTGAACAGGTTTGGAAGACGTGCGGAACCAGGGCTCTGGGATCCCGTTAGAGTACAAGTGGTCACATGTGTAGCTTTGTTATCAATCCAGCTTGGCTCAGGCCACCTCGCACCAATGCTCCCCGCTTTCTGGAGTAGGGATACTCCAGTACTAGTGAATCACTCAAAAATGTCATAGAGTTCTTGTCTGTAGAGTCTAGACCCAGTAATGCTCTCGAGCGACTCATCAAAACTCAGCTCTTGGGCGGTAAATCCCAGTACTCAGCAATAAGGTGAACGGTAATGGCGATAGATGGGATGGTAATAGTGGTAAAGTGCACAATTTGAGAGCGGTAGAAGCCAAGGTCTGTTGGTCCTGCAGGAATTTTCAACACTCAAGTGTCAGTGTGCTCGTGCTGTCTCTAGAATTTCAGAGTTCTACAGCACTAGTGCCGGCCAAAAATACAAGAGAGCTCTCCAGCAGAAGCGTGAACCACTTTTTTTTTCAGTAGAAGAATCTCGTTGTGGAGCTTTTTTTGCTCACAGAAATCTGTTTAGTGGAGCTATGTGTAAGCCCAATTGTACAAGGTCGTCGAGCAGGCCTCTGAGATTCTGTCCGGATTAGGCAACCTCTTGCCTGTGGAATCAATAGACCCGGAAGGCACATGTGCAATCTTTATGACCTTGTCTGGACTGCAGTACGCAGAACGTTGATGGAGTTGGTGTTATCCATGGTCACAAGCGGTCCCAGAACAAATGCCAGAGTGCGCTTGAGTGTATTACATAGCGTGGCCGTCGTAGCTCTTGGAGAAGTGTGTGCAAGTCGCCTCTCCGGTGCGCGTTCCATGTTCAGAGAGTCACATGATCGCAGTGGAGCACATTCTTGGAACGTTTTCTATTTTAATTTCGATTAGATTCCAGCAAATTTAGTTACAATCTGAATAAGGAAACAGCCCCAAACGTTCTGCTGGAGAGCTCTAATACCAAAAAATTGATTTTGAACATATTCAAATATACATGAATACGATACAGCATTGGACCTGACAACTGGACATGAATACTTGCAGGCAAACATGATATGATATGACAGTGGTTAATGTATTCAAACATATTTGGATATGATTATAGCAGGATCAGCCATCATGCAAGCAACCTTGGGAGCAACTTGTTGAAGTAATAAGATTGAGAACTTATTTTAATTGAGTAGCTACTGCTCCTATGTATACTATGGATAACCAATATCTAGAGTGTAAAAGAATGAACCTGAGATCGGTAGTAATGACTAAGTAAGCTTAGTAATGATAAGTAATTGATCTTGTATATTTTGAGAACAAATAGATCAGGCTGCTACACAGTCACGGAGATAGACGTACATACCACATCCACAAACAGACAGGACAAGCGTACAAAGACCCTCAACTCCTGCAGATCACATGCATCAATCAACACACGTAAGGGCATGTGTTCAATTCTCAGCATTTGACACCCCAGCAACCTCCAACTATGACATAAAATGGCTTCCAGGCCCCCTCCGGAGGCCATCCTAGAGGCGCCTTCCTAATTGGTACTCTGCCCAGCCATTCATCAATGGCCTGCATGGTGGACTAGGCATTTGCCTAGATGTTTTTTGGTGCTGTAGTAGTCAATTCCATACCCCAGATCATGTCCTAGTTTACAAAACTGTGTATTCTCTGCTTGCAAATAGTGGACCATTAGGCACCCAGAATTTGGGATTTGAGCGGATTAGCACTCCTCAAGTGCATGAGAAGAAGGTATATATATATTGATGTAGGATTGAGCACAAGAAACCGGTGCCTACACACAAAAATGAGATATTGTTGCAGAAATAGCCTTCTGCCTCTGCAACCTCCAAGAGCATGAAAAAAGATGACAGGACACCCACAGACCCTTTAGAGCGACTCTTGTATCTACATTGGACCATGAAGATCAGCTTTAATGATAGCTCAGCATGTAGATTGGATGCTAGCACCAATACCAAAACTGGCCTCCACTGCCTCCACAGCTAGGGACTGAAAACAGTTACTGTGGATTCAGCCACATACCATGTTTATGACATTATCTATCTTCATTTGGATGCACAGGGTTTTCTCAAGTGGCCACTCAGCATGTGAATTGGATGCTGGAGCAGATCACAGAAAAGCTCTCCGCTGCCTCTACAGCTGGGGACTAAAAAATCAGTTTCTTTGGATTTAGCGGCAGAAACTATATTTCAATGTCAGGTGTCTTTATTTGGATGCCAAGGGTCCTCTACAGAGACAGCTCAGCATGTGAATTGGATCCTGGAGCAAATGGCAGAGCTGGCCTCCACCGCCTCCGCAGGTTATTACTTGAAGAGTCTGGGTGAGATGACAATGTAACAGATAGTGTCAGGGGAACCCCTGCTTTTGTCCGGTCATTATGGGATCTTGCATGTGACCACGCACGTGCCATCTGTCAGGCGTCACATCCTTCGGTCCAGACTTCCCTGCCAAGCGCATCCCACATGACCCTCCAGCCCGGGCTCCCATTGTTCTGATGGTCCGGTGATAGGCTGGCTACCAGACGCGCTCTGCACCAGCTCTGTAAGGGCGTATTTTTGCGCTTTTTACAGAGTTTACTCTTGAACCATTCGGTGTATCGTGTCGCGGTTGACAGTGTTGCGCTCAGTAGGACTTAAGGGTCTACTGCCCAGTCGACGACTGTGGATAGTGTCGACGATAGCAAGGCAGTCAGACCACTACTGTGGAACTGGTCTTATGGGTCTACACCAGGCTCAGGGCCATTAGTGACGAACGCTTGGACCGCGACCATTCCCCAAAAAGGGATCTGTCGTTGCGTCGACTTCTCGAAAAGGGTCATTCTCTGCAGATGGGAACTTGGGCTGAAGGGCTGAGCAATGCGCGACGTTCTCAATAATAGAACTACTACTGGACAGGACTTGGCGTTACAAGACTTAAACCATCTTGTCGCGGCAACTCCCGGTTTTGAGTTGGACGTTTCCTCAGATCATGCCACGACGACGACTTGTCACATGTCAGGATCCATTCGATCACGGGACATTGTGGACGCGTCGCGGTGACACTTCCAAGTGTCACGGCGAGTCGCGTCCATACCCAAACACACTAGAAACCGACACGGCTAGATCCGTGAACCGAACCATGTGGGGGACGACTGGTGTGCCTAGGGCCATACGGCTTCTTGGGGCGCCCACGTTGGTCTCACTTGCCAAGACATACCCGTTGGCCAATCCAACACGTCGTATTCCAAAAGTATGACGCGGTGGGTTGACCCACATCAAAAGTATCATATGGACAATGGGGCGGGGTCCTGATCACTCAGGACCTGTCCGATCGTTCAACTTTTCAATTACCCTAAAAGGCAACCGATCTTAGATAGCGTAGCTACTATGCAGTTGTACAGGACTTTACTAAGCAGCGTCGTAGACAGTATAAGTAGCACGTCGTTTCTTTGTATTGGGGAGCTTTCCCCCGGACTGTGAATCACTCTCATTTCAGATTGTTTTGTACAATTTGCGTGCCGCGTGATTCCACCCTAAGAAGTTCTGCTACCCCTGCCCGGTCGCGACGAGTTGCTCCCTGAGCACTTGTAGCTACTGTGATTTGAGTTTGAGTTGAGACATCAGAAAGTCGGATTCGCCGCATCTGGTTTAGTCGCGGCATTTAGTGTCGTCGCCTTCGGGCTTTGTTGAGATCGTTCCACACCTCTAGCTTGGCAGTGCGTCGACTAGTTGTGCTCGGGTTGTTTTGGTCAGTTGGCAGTGCGTCGACTTGAGAACTTTGGTTCCACACTTCTTGCTTGGCAGTGCGTCGACAAGTTGTGCTCGGGTTTTGGACATTGGATATTGGCTGTTAGTTGGCAGTGCGTCGACGCGGCATTTTGGTTTACTAGTTGGCAGTGCGTCGACTCAGTACTTTTGGTTTACTAGTTGGCAGTGCGTCGACTCAGTACTTTTGGTTTTGTCA